AGCTATATTGAAATATTCTTAATAATAATAAATTCTGCAATCCTTTTCCACTCGCCCCGATACACTTATCTTTGCGCGCAAACTCGTTTCAACGCTATTTCCTTCTTTTCTATCCAGTTTATCGTTTGAACGTATTAACGTTTAATTTTATACCTTTTGAAGCTTTATTATGATGAGAATTTATAGGTATATTAATTACTCGGTTAGATTATATTCTATATACTTCGAAATTTGTTAATGACGAACAAAATCTTAGAAATCATAAAATCTTAGAAATAATAAAAATTGGGCGAGGTGAATCGAGTTTAAAAAGTGATATGAAAAGAAAGGATCTCGATTGAACGGTCGATAATTAAGAAAATTATTTAACGAGTAATGAAGTAAGGAAGAAATTAAGATGGGGACGATCAAGAAACTCGAGCGATAATTCCGTTTTACATTAGTGGATAAAGTTTAAATGGGCGAATGTCGTATTCGATTCAACGATTTGCTTTCTATACCGTTCGAATTTCAATGTAATCCAGAGGATTGCCGAGTGTTTGACCACGCGCTCGTCCAAACCCATTCGCCATTACCTTGAACGGCACACAGTGACAAACTTCGGTCGTTACCGGTAGTTCGTTTTCACGTTTCGGCTCTTTCTATCCTTGCGTGCCTTATTATCTACAGAGTCTCGCTTCGTTCTCCTTATTGTCTCTACGTTACTCGTACCGTTTAGCATCTTCATTCCCAATGTTAATGTAAATTAATTTCGACATATTTTGTATTCGCAAAAATTTACGTGATAATTACGATAATAAACAGAATAATGGGACTGATAATCGAATTAATAGTTGGTAAATAAGTGTAAAAATGGTCAAAGCCGAACGAACATTTAGATTATATTTAAATTTTCAGTGCGCGGCATCTCTTAAATAGGTTAAAATACAAATAGTTAAAAATTAATATAATTAACGTTATCGCTTCGTCGTAATATTTGTTACGTGAAGATTACGAAAAAAGAAAAAAAAGAAGAAGAAAATTGAATGTCTCGTTGACTCGTATGTACATATTTCTATCTCGAAAAATTCAATGACAGTACAACGATAAAAGTTCCAACGGTATAATTTATTATTGGATCGAAAAAAGACATGTTTTAACGCGCGTGTCCCGATAGATGGCAATAGTATCGTGTTACTCTCGAATAAAAATATGATATCTATTAAAATCTAGAACTCCACGGAATATGACGAAAATTATTATAATCATGCCACGTCATGGAAGAGAATAAAATATCCTGGAAATAAAAAGGCATGATTAAAAATTATAATTAAAAGGTGTAATATTTCCGTATATAAAATCCCGTTTTTCTTCGAAATTATTAACAAAGATATTTCGATATCATCATGTGTATTACATATATTGCATTCGCTTGATTAATAACCTCTCAAACGAAATGGGAAAAACGATTATTTTATTTCCTTTAAAAATATATCCAGTAAATAATATTTTGACAAGGATAAATTGACTAAATTCGTGATGACGTTATGAAAAAGATAGGAATTAGTATATAAACCGTGGAAACAGTTTGAAAGTAAAAATACAGATTCAGATCAAACCGAGCTTTCTAGAAGCAATTCTAAACAACACTATCAAAATGAGCAAAATCGTTGCTGTCGTCGTTCTAGCTGCCTTCTGCGTAGCCATGGTAAATATTCATATTTTTATTCCACCGCTTTGTATTAATTTCAAATCACATTTTACATTACTCGATCGATCCATTATTATTTAAATTCTTCAAATTCTTATACGTTTCCTTCTATTTCATTATTTCTTTCTCTTCAACGTTACTCTGTTGCTTCTGTTTCTCTTCAAACCCTCTGTTGCGAGAGTTGTCTCATTATACGTTCAAGACTTTTTTACTACCAATTAGTTGGCTCGTGTCTTCGGCGAGTTGCCTATAGTTTTCTCTAGCGCTTAAACTAGACGAATCCTACCGGTTATCGAAAATTTTATTTTACACACTTGTCCACACGAGTTCTTAAATTCACATACATAATTTACTCTGCTTTATGCGGGCAATCGATTATCCACTTATCCATTTCATTTGAATAATTTTCCATATTCCTGAGAAAATATTGTTCCATATCTTTCCTCGAACATTTTCAAATCGGCTCACGTTCGCGATATTTGGTGGGAAGAAGAATTATATTTGTATCATATTTCCATAGTTCTACTTTTCTCCTTCTCTTCTCGTCTTTGAATCTAATGAAATTTTTTTTTAACGAAATAGTTGGTCAGCGATGTGTCGGCCAAATCATCGATCACTGTGAAGGGCGAGACAAGTGTTGATGTAAGTAAATTCGATTTCGAACATTGATTTTTTTTAAATATTAAATTTTTTGAATTAAAATTACTCGATCCATTCTCAATAGGTCGTTTCCCAAATCAACAGTTTGGTTTCATCTATCGTAGCTGGTGCCAATGTGTCAGCAGCGTTCCTAGCTCAAACTTTAGTTAATATCCTTCAAATTCTTCTTGACGCCAATGTTTTTGTTTAATTTAATATATTCTTTGACTTTGTATTGCGCGCATACAACGCATTCGAATAAAATAAGTAAATAAGTAATTGCAAATCGTACAGTATCTTATTCTTTTCGCTTATCTCGAAAATCTTCCTTCGCAATTAACGCGCAATTACGTTTACTTTATCTCCGATAATTGCTGTAATTAATTCTGATAACATTTTAGAGATAAATAAAAATCATGTAGTGTAAACTTTTAAACAATTTTTTTTTTTTTTACTAAAATACCTGAAACGTCGTATATTCATTGAAAAAAATTTATTATTATTCGAAACACGATTTCGTAGTAAATTTTCTCGAGACTTCGCTCAAGCTCGGTCCAATTTTAATACATTTTAATACAATCCTCTAAATATTTGTTCCGCTCGATTTCAACTTCAACTTGAGTTGAAAAGAGAAGAGAGGAGAAAAAGGCAAAAAAAAAAAGAAGAGAGAGAGAGAGAAAAAATCGAACGATTAAGAAGAGAAATGAAAACGAATAATGAGTAATAATTCCGAATAAATAACGAGCGTCCATGTACAGGCCAAGAGGAGCCGAAAGAGGATGGCGGAAAGTAGTCTGCCATTCGTCAGCTGCTCTTTTGTATTCAGTAGTTGGTATTCAGTGGTGGCGAGACGATGGCTGCCGTGTTTGGCCAGAATTTTGACGTTGATGACGAGGGATGATAGATGGCGTCCCGCATCCATTAGGAAAAGTTGGATCCGTGAGATCGTTCCCTCACGTATCGAAGACACTTTACATACCTATTCCTCTCTCGCCTTTGAAGTTATACAACTTGTTAAAAATTACACGTTCTTTATATGCATTCGTGACATAATAATTCCTCTCGTTTAGCTTTTTTTTTTTTTCGAAAGAAAATTATTCGAATACTTTGATAAAAAAAAAAAATGGTTTGTTCCTATATTATATATAATAATAAATAAAAAATATATTTCTATTTGAATTTTTTATAAATATAAACGAATTTATTAAAAAATGTATAATTATATAAATATATATAAAATTTTAACAATTATAATTATTAACACAAATAATATATATTAAATAATTTATGAAGTAATCAAATCATTTTTTGCAATTCTCTCCAATGTTCGAGGGAGTTAGATCAGTTTGTGTAATCAAAACTATCTCGATTCCTTTCGAGATACATACAGTTCTTTCCATAAATAAATAAGTCAGAATTGCGAATGATTAATCGTGAATTAAATGAAAATTTTATATATATATATATATACTTCCCAATAAAATCGTGAATTCCTTATTTTTTGAACACCCAGTAGTTGGATCATGTAATTGACGCGATTCATATTCATAGGCCGGGATCAGAAGTGGGGAAGGGGGAGAATGGCCAGCGATGAATCCGAGTATCGGAAGTAGCGTCGTCTTACGGTGAATACGCGAAACGAGCAGGAAGGGAGGATAATTTCAGAAGGAAGTAAAAAAAGAAGAAAAAAAGACAGTGCGTTATTACGTGTGTACAGTATCCACTCGTTGGTAAATATGAATGACTTTAATATTCCGTAAGCACGAAAGCGCCACTTTTTAAAGTTCATGCATAACCCGAACGTGACCAGGAAATATTACAAAATCCCTATGAAAAGCTCTTACTAACAGGAGCAGTATGAAATAAAAATAAATGATCGGATGTGTAATTTTTGTCATCTCGCGAAATTTATTACTTTTTTTTTTTTTTGATTTCACGTGCAACTTCTTTTGTTTTGGTTTTGTAATCGAAGGGATAACATACATAAAAGCTCGATACTTGATTTATTACGTATTGGCAGAGTTTAGGAATGATTGTACAGTATATCGTTCAAAATTACTTTCAATTACCTTAAAAGTTCCAGGAAACAATGGAAATTGTCAGTTTAGAAAATTGCAAAAATATATTTTCATCTGGAAAAGCTTGTAAATTCGTTGAACGTTATTCTCGAACGATCTCAAAATTAAATTTTTGATCGAACGAAGAGATACACGGGTAATGAGTTCCGCACTGTGCAAAAAATTAATAAAAAAAAAACCACGTGCATATTCTTACACTTGTGATGAGAATATTGTATCTAGTATGGTATATATATATATATAGTGTCCAGTTGCTAGAATTTTTTATATTAAACTTGAGCACGAAACATGCACTTGCATATTTTTGGCAATCTTCTGAGTTTTAATATCAGTTGACTAATTTAAATTTTAACTTAAATATTAATTATTGTTTACGTATCTAATCTAATCTAATCTAATCTATTCAATACAATTAATAGTGTATTCAAAAAATTAATATATCAGTTCTTTAAATATTTCGAATTATTCATTTTATATAATCTTGATATAATAAAAAGAGAAAACGAATACATTTAACGTCAATTATCAATGTTAAAAATCATATTTAATAAGATATTATATTAAAAAAAAAAACTAGAAAAAGTATTCTACGAGTATTATATAATTGTAATTATCAATCGCAATTATTTAAATTATCCACATAACCATAATTGTTTAAATTATTCACTTAACCATAATCAAAAACAAAAATGAATTCCAACGATTTGTTAAAAGAGCGTATCGTTTAATTAGAAACAGTGTCGCAGCTGGTAACGCGACACGAAACACGAATCGCAGTCGCTGGAAACCGTCCACGCGTATTTATACATTTAATAGAAGCCTGACCAGTGAACTCCACCTTAATTCAAACTAATTTACATTTCACATGTTCACCGAAGCGAAGCACGCTTAGCGCCCCCATTTATCTTGGTTGAATTTAATTTCACCCTGGCAAAGTAAAGTACCGACTTATTCTTATAAATGTCATCGACCTATGCAATCTTGTCTCTACAATTTGAAAGATATTAGTTTGAGATATTTACTTATTTGTGTCTTGTCTATTCTTTTTCCTTATTTATTAATCTCGTTTATATTTATGTTTTTCGATCGATATAAAATTACAACGTATCAATGTATACGTAGGCATATCTTTGAAAGAAGATCGATTTCCATACTGAAACAAGATAACATTGATTTTTGAATGCGCCAGGCAAAAAAGTTCTTAGCAAAATAGCCAGGCGAGGATTCTATTATTAAAAAATTATTAAAAATAGTTTTGCTGGATTAAACAGAAATATATCACGTGACCAGGCTTTTGCTAAAATCAAACGTTGAGTCATTAGAACGTATACTGAAACAAACAAGATAATTATTAAATTAATATCGATTACTAATTGACTTCAACTGATAATTGCGATAAAGCACCGAATAATGCGTCATACGAGACTTCCAAGCAAAGTTCCAGACGAGCAGGCTATTCCCTCTATCATTAAAAGTGATTCTGTTTAGATTATTTTGCTCCCATTGTTAACTTAGAGATACATTAGTGATCAGGCTTTTTTCTAAAGCTAAACATCGCGTTGTGTCCCTGAAATACATATTGAATAAACGAAAAATTAAATTATTATTAACTATTAATTCATCATTAATCGATATCAATCATTATGCAAAGCGCGGAATGACGCGCCAGGTAAAAAAGTTCCGAAGAAAATTGCCAAACCAGCAATTCCTTGTCGTTAAAACTGACAAAGAATATATCACGTGACGAGCCTTCCGAGATTAAAGCCGTATTGTATCGTATCACTGATATAATGAACACATAATGGAAGAAACAAAAATTGAATTGTTATTGTTCTGTTTATTTCATTAATCATTATGTAATGCGTCGAACGATGCACTAAGTAAAAAAGTTCCAAAGAAAGTTATCAGATTAAATATTATCCCCTCTACCATTAAAAATGACTATTACTATTTTGTTCTTATTGCTTGGTTAGACACAAGTATATCAGGCTTCCATCAGAGCTAACGTCACATCGTATCGCATATGTTGGAACACAGACTAACAAAAATTAAGTAAGTTATACTTGACTATTAACCGATCATTGATCGATCATTAATTGATTTTAAGTGATAATTGTATAAATTGAACAATGCACAAAATAAAAGAATTGCGAGTAATATTGTTACGAGCACGTTACGTCTTCCACCATTAAAAGTGACTGCTATATTATTTGCTCTCACTGCTGGATACAGCAAAGGTACATCACGTGACCAGGTTTCCGTTAAAACGAAGCATCATGTCACGTGATGCAGTGTATATGAAGATATATGACGTCATGTATTTTCTTCCCATAGAAATTCACTATTTTAGCGATAGAGGAGGTAAAGTATCGTACTTACCGACAATTCTGATCTCAAGGATCTCGCACGATAATATTCCCATGGCAGAATTCTCTTCTCTTTCTCTTCTCTTGTAAACAATAGAATTTCGAGAATGCGTCGAGGAAAAGGAGAATTAGGAACATTCGTAAAAAGATATTAATCGTAAACATAGAATTTTTAATAAACTCAAGTATTATTTTTCCCATTTTATTTCCACGCTCGATGAAATATATCGACGTAACTATAATTATAAATTGATTTGTCAAATGAGCTTCTGCTGAAATAAAATCCATCCTCCAAAAGGATATTTCCAAAGAATATAGAAATGGTATTAAAACTGCATTAAAACGAACAAAGATTGTCTAGCTACGTTTAAATGCAAACACAGCAAGTCACAACAGGACTGTTGGATATCCCGCTGAAACATCGAGACACCGTTTGATTAACATTTTCATCGCATCTCGAAAGTTTAGAGTTCTTAGAAAATTCGAGATTACAAATTTTCATTAAAAAGTTTCGGTGCCGATTTGCATAATTACACCACTTCACGGTGTTCCATACACCGTCCAACGTGAGATTAAACTTGCGATCTCTTTGACATTTAATTAATATATTTAATCTAATAAAAATACATGAGTGTACATTTAACAAGATTATTTGTTGTAAAAAATCTTTGATCCAATAAATCCTTACTTTGTTATGAAAATCAAAATAGATTTACATCTAAAATATTACACAATATAAGTTTCTTGATGTGAATAATTTTATGACTGACATATGTGGGTAATGTTAAGGATGATTCATCGATATTTTTAAAAATGATTCTTATTGAACGCACGTTCAACGTTATACTCGATTCTTCAGCTCTTGAGAACAAGTAATTTCGAAGGGATTTCACCATCTAGTTCGCACCACTATTTCCAAATGGGATTGAGTGGCACCGCCCTGACAAACTGTCCTCACGGCCTTGTTTTCCAATTTATCCGTGATCCACCGCTCAGACGACCGACCACGATACTTCACTTCTCTGTAACAGATCGTTACGTTAAATCTATCGAAAAAATTCTTAATAAGACTCGTTCATCGATTTTTTTACACGGGATATAATTCTCCGTATTTCGGTAAAATTTAGTTCGGTAAATGAAAACGGGGAAAAATGGATATTAATGAAAATGAAAATAAATGAAAAAAAATATATAAATAAATAATTGTTTCGAATAATTATTCATCTTATCTCAAGGAATTCGATAAGACGATTCTTATATATAAATAATTATCAAAAAATGTAAATAAGACAAAATATTTAACGAAGAAATAATGCAAATTTTTTTTTCTTTTTTGTTAAAATATATAATTTATTTTTCTTTTAACAGTATGCAAATTTTCTCTTTAAAAACTTGAATCACAATTCTTTATTTACATTGTTTTAAAAGTGTACGAGTAAGGAAGTTATGTAATTTATGATCGAACCATTAATATTAGAATAGATAATAGGAAAATATCATGTACGATATTGAATTAAAAAAAAAAAACAAACGGAATCTTTTTTTTTTTTTTTCGAAAGACAATATGCTTTAATGAGGATTAATAATAGCGGGCAGGTTGGTACGCGTAACGAAACGAACCGACTTTGATTGGAAATCCTCCATTTTCGTCGCGTTCAACTTTATTTCAGGAAAGCCGGTTCAAAAGCTTGGTAATTTTGTCGATCGTTCGACCGAAATGTAAATTTTATGCCGCTATTAAAATCGATCGTCGTCGTCGAGCACGGCGAGCGTTTCCCTCGTTCGTCCCACGTGTTGTCTTAATAGAGTATCCTCAAAGTCTCGATTACAATAGTTCCAACAATAGTTATCAACAATTATATAATATAACGCGATATTATATACGTCACAATGACTTCTTTTTTTTTTTTTTTGTTACTGATTTTTTTCAACATACGTTCGATTATTATTTTAATAATCGAGATAATAAGTCAAGTTTCTTCAGCACGTAATATCCTTTTTTTATAACTGTTAACTTAGTCTGTTCTTGTACTGCATTAATTACAATACATCGCAATACCAGAGAATCAATTCTCAATTATTTCCTCTTACAGGCGTTGCTACTTTCGATTTATTTTTTTCACACGCTTTTGCCAAAAATTCAATGTGAAATGATAATCAAATCAAATAAAGTGATATCAAAAAAACTTGTAAAATCGCACAATTTTTATAAGTAATGAATATCTTCGAAGGCAAAATTGAAAAAATTTTAACTTATCAGTTACAGCGTTTCGTTGAATGACGTATTGTATTTATTATAGAGATAATCTAGTATATGTATATCGTTAAATGCGACAGAAATTATAGTAATCCGATAGACGTCGGTCAAACTTCAGGAAATAGATTTGTCAATGTTAACTTGAAGCAAAGTGGATTTAATATTTTTGTGGAGTGGCTCGAAAAAATTGTGAAAGTTTATTCGTACACGGGACATCCTTCAATTATCTGATTAAGATATTGTTGATAAGCTTTTCTCTAAGAGTACTTGTTAAAACTTTCGATTCGATATCGTGTTATCGATTTATTTGTCAAATATTTGAGAAATTTAAAAAATAACGTAACATCTTTATTGTATGTTTGTATGTTAATAAATCATCAAATCAAATTTCACACGAATAAATAAGTATTAAATTTATTTTCAAATATTTGTCAAGTATACGGCAAAGTGGCAAAATATTTTCGAAGAGACGAATGTATTTCGGATGTAACGAAGAAAAAACTCGATATACGAAAAATTAAATACGATTTAATAATATATCAAGTTTATCGAGCAATTGAATATTATATAATGACTTGATAATTAAACCTAAGTCGATATTTTTGTATATCAATGTATTTTTATATCTCTTTCGATTTTTAAAATTCTTCAAAATATATGTGTATATAAATTAATGAAAAATAATCATAAATGAATCATCTCTAAATTTATTCTCATCTGTTTCACCTTAACCTATTTGCTGTCTGTTATTATAAATAGTGTGTTGTTATAAGTATTTGTGTCTGATAAAAAAACTAGCGAAAGGAAACATTCAACTTTTTTTATTCGATATATATATATATATATTATATAAGAAAGAGTATGATGTAAATAATATTTAAAAATATGCAAGACAACCTCCTATGAATATGTAATTTTTTATTTTCTATCAACTTCTTTCTAGGTTTTTTTTTTGTTACATTCTTCAAAATTTCTTACGTATTTAGTAACGTATTTCTACGTTTCTTGTATCTATATTTATCGTTAACGCAGCGATGCAAAAAAAAAAAAGAAAAAAGAAAGAAAGAAAAAAAGATAATGCTTTCTAATTCTTTGGTCGAATCTATTTTTAATCAATTCACACGTCCATTCCCATACATCGATTTTTTCGATTATTACAAATCTCAAATTCGAAAATTATTAATTATTAATTCTTTGTTTCAGAATAGAAAAATTATGTGGAAGGTAGCGTTGTTGATCGCAATCCTGTTCGTTGCAACGGATAAAAGTAATATACTCGATCAATTTTACAGTTATAGTTTCTTAAAATCCCCCCCTCCTCTCATGTAATTCAATCAATCGTTAGAAGTGTCAAAAAAAATTAAAAAAAAAAAAAAGAAAAGATTATTTTTTCCTCCCAATTATAATGCGCGTCAATCAAATATCAAAATATATTCATCGAGATATGATGAACCGCAACAGGTGATGCAAACGACTGCGTGCCACGAAGTTTCGGGACAAATAATATCGTGTGCGTTTGTAACTCGACTTACTGCGACAGTACGCCGGAACCGGAGCCAAAGAGTCCAGAGAAAGGTACTTTTCATTGGTACGTCTCGAGCAGAGATGGCCTCAGGCTGAGCTTGTCGAAAGGACACATGTCAAGCAGTTGTCAAAACGATGGATATTTGACCCTGAATATCGATACCTCGAAGAGGTATCAAACGATCCTCGGTTTTGGAGGTGCTTTTACCGACTCGGCGGGAATAAATATCAGGAATCTGAGCGAGGCTACTCAGGATCAATTAATCAGGTAATAGAACGAATCGATGGTGAAAAATTATCACTTATTCGATTTGAATAAAATTAAATTGATTGTATGTAAAGTAGATTACAAGTAACGAGATCCGTTTAACCTATTTTACAGGACGTATTTCGATCCGAAATATGGAAGTAGGTATACGCTAGGCCGTATACCAATAGGAGGAACTGACTTCTCCACGAGAGCCTATACATTGGACGATTACAATGATGATGCGACGTTGCAACATTTCGCGCTTGCTCCTGAAGATATCGAGTATAAGATACCGTACGCGAGGAAAGCTGTCGAGTTGAATCCCGATTTGAGATTCTTTAGCGCAGCGTGGTCGGCCCCGACATGGATGAAAACCAATCACAAAATCAATGGATTTGGTAAGTTTTACTTTAAAAAGAATATATATATATATCCTTTTTTTTTAAGATAAATACCATTTTAAATAAGTTTTTCGAACGCTAGATACAACTTGTTTCATTTGATATACAGGTTTCTTGAAGACCGAATATTATCAGACTTTTGCCAATTACATATTGAAATTCTTAGATGAATATAAAAAGAATGGAATAGATATATGGGGTGTTTCAACTGGAAACGAGCCATTCGATAGCTATATTCCTTTTGAGCGTCTTAACACTATGGGATGGACACCAGAGCTGGTTAGCGATTGGATCGCTAGCAATTTGGGTCCAACTTTAGCAAATTCCGAACACAACGACACACGAATTTTCGTTTTGGATGATCAAAGAGTAGGATTACCTTGGTTCGTCGAGAACATCTTTAAAAATGAAATTGCGAAAAATTATGTTTACGGCATAGCCGTACATTGGTACACGGATGTGTTGATTCCACCGATAGTATTAGATGAAACGCACAGTAAGTTTCCTGATAAAAAAATTTTGATGACCGAAGCATGTGAAGGTAAGATATATATATTCATAAATTACTTTATGCGATATAATCAAAAGTTTTGTACTTTCTCTCATAAAAAATATTCTTGTATAGGATCTTTTCCATTGGAAAAAAAGGTTAAGTTGGGATCATGGGAAAGAGGGAAAAGATATATATTAAGTATAACGCAGGTAAAGTGATGATGAACATTTTTAATACGGAAATATTAGAGAGGATATTATATCTTAGTCTTAATATAAACAATTTTTATTATAAAAAATATAATTTATTTTTAAGTATATGAATCATTGGGGAGTTGGATGGGTGGATTGGAATATAGCTTTGAACAAAGATGGCGGACCAAACTATATCAATAATAACGTCGACTCGCCCATTATTGTAAACCCAGAAAATGATGAATTTTATAAACAGCCAATGTATTACGCTATTAATCACTACAGCAGATTCGTCGACAGAGGGTCGGTCAGGATTTTCATTACCAATACGATTGATATTAATGCCGCAGCCTTTGTAACACCCTCAAACGAAATTGTGGTTGTTGCGTATAACGAGTAAATGAGAATTTATTTTCAATTATTTGCAATTGACACAAGAATGCGTATCATATTTATAACAATTATCTTGCTTTTCAGCAATAATGAAAAAACGAATGTGGTTTTAAACGATGTGGCAACTGAAGATTATATTTGCTTGGAGTTACCTCCACATTCTATGAATACTATAATTTACAACAAGTAGAATACTCGCTTAAAATGAAGATTAAAAACAATCAATGAAACATATTATTCGATATAAATTTTATTATATTAAAAATGTAAAATAAAATTATATCATATAGTAATAAATGAGAAGCATTGTTATTATGCTTATTGAAATAAAATATATTATCTGAAATAAAACCTTGTTCTAATAAACAATAATAATATTCAAACGATATATTCTTTGATTGTATATGATTCTCATGAAAATATTTCCACGATATATATACGCAATTAAGATGCACATAAATAATTTGCCATTTTCTCTTGTGAAAACAATTTGCAGATTTGTACATAAATATTCGTCTGCAAATATTATCTGCCCTCTGCAATAATTCGTGAGAACTATCTCTGAATTTTTTATTCAATAACTTCTTTTTCATTCGATGATTATTTGCACGGTTCAAAGTACAAGTTTGAAAAGTTGTTTCTATCAATTAAGATATCGATCAGTTAATAAATATATTGGATATCGCTGCACGTTTATTATAGCAATTTACACAAACGTTTTAAAAAAAAGAAAAAAAAACTTGCGTAGATATGATATGAGTTCGATGTTTATAAAATTATGTTAATCGAGAATCGACAATTCAATATTTTCTTGTAAGTAGTGAGAGTAAACGATTCAAATATCATATATTTAAATATATCTTGCATTTTATGATTATAATAATTTCACTTGTTATATATGTTAAAAGTATTAAAAAAAAAACTTTTTCGTGTATTTTCGATAACTTTTATTTTTAACATTTCAAAATTCAAATAACATTTCTTATCACAAATTAATTTTAATATATTTTTTCCTCACGCCAATTTTTTTTTTTCTTCTTCATTGATTTTCTTCTTCATTTTTTCGCAAATATTTCGAACGTCATCAATCATTAAAGAAATGGAGATAACTGTTCAAATAAATAAATATTTACATTAGAAATCATGTCACTTTTTAAGAAAAATTGATTCTAAGTGATGAATTGAAATAAAAAAAAAATAATACACTTGCAAATATATTTATAAATATATTTTAAATAAATTATGGAGGAATGCTTAAAAAATTTATTTAATTCTTCTAGTGGATAAGATTTTTAATTTTTTTTTAAATTGACTACTAACACTTGGTATTTGCACTTTGCGTTTATGTTATCTCTGTTTCATCGACTTGTAATTCCAAACTTTGTATAATATTGTAAAAATGTGTAAGTACTCATTAATTTTAAAACAAATAGTATTTTATTAGTTTATTATTAATATTGATAAATTTCTATCTCTTTCATATCTATCTACATCTCTTTCATATAACAAACATATTATAAAGATAAGAAATAATAGACAACAAATACAGATAATATATCACTTATATAAATAATATGTCAGTTTTATTTTATTTTCATGCAGAAAAGTATAAAAGAAAACTTTTACGGTAGTTAAATATTAGTCACACTTTTTTCTTCATAAGTCTCACTCAAATTTTTACAAATGAACACGAAACACGTTTGGACTACACTTCTATTTCTAATTTCCGTTTTCTTCAGAAAAAGTGAGTCAAATATAATTCAAATGTACTGTCCGAATGCTCATTAACAATCATCTTTATATCTTTAGAAAAATAAGAGTTTATCGATTGATGTTGAGTGAGCCTGAATAATCGTCCTGGTATCCTTCTTGCATCTAATCGATATACATATTATTTACTAAAATAATTTTTCAAAGAATTAATTAAATTAATTACAATTATTTCAATTAATTATAGGTATCGCAAACGATTGTGCACCTTACCGTGTAGATGATGAAATAATCGCGTGTGTCTGCAATGCGACATATTGCGATGGTATACCGGATAATAGACCCGAAGTACCTTCGGAAGGTAATTCCTATTGGTACGTGTCAAATAAGCAAGGGCTGCGGATGAAGGCATCAGAAGTAAAGTTTGACAATTGTGAGAACTTCGATGCGGATACAACAATCACCATAGACAGTAAGAAAAAATATCAAAAGATAATTGGATTTGGGGGCGCGTTTACCGACGCCACTGGTATAAACATAGCGAAACTCAGTCGGGCTACTCAGGATCAACTGATTCGGTAATCGATTTCCGCCTAAAAAGGAATTAACACATGCATGATAATTTGTTACTTAAAATACACAATTTTGAATTGTTTAGAGCGTATTACGATCCGAAAAGAGGAAGCAGATACACATTGGGTCGCATACCTATTGGCTGTACCGATTTCTCTACGAGAATTTATACGTACGACGATACTCCCGGTGATACTTTGTTAAAAAACTTTTCCCTTGCACCAGAAGATTACAATTATAAGATACCATATGCAAGATTAGCTGTTGAATTAAATCCTGAAGTGTTATTATTTGCCGCCGCATGGACTGCCCCATTATGGATGAAACAATTCGACAACAATATCAGTACGTATGGTAGT